CTGACCTGTGAGGCCCGTGGTGTGTGGAGAATTTCCCAGAAAGCATTGTCATAATCCATCAGAATAACCTAGACTACTGCAAACCGTTTGCCCTTGAATGTACTGTTGTGAATAGAAGTTGAGATAGTGAGACCTAACTACAGGAAGGGTTTGGTTCCTGGTGTTTCCAAACCTTGCTTCCTTAGGACACTCCCCCACCCCTTCTCTGATGGGCTTGGGGAGTAGATAAGCCAGTGACAAGCCAGCCCTGGCTTGACGACTATCCTCACCTTCTTTGTCAACCCAACAAATAGGGCTCTTTTCCTAGAAGCAGCCCTGGTATTGGTTGAGCGCCCAGTCCAGTCAGCTACTGTGGGAGGAGCAAGGTAAGTATTTCCCACTCTCCTAACCAGCATAGAGGCCTCAGTAACGCTGTCTGTGCCTGGGTATTTTTCCATCCAAGGAAGAAAATGCGCTAATGATTTGCTGCACAGGGATGCCATTTGAAGGAAATAATTGCCTTTCAGCTGTTATTTTAAGCCAGAAAATGGCTCTGTACCAGGATTGTGCCAGACCCAAGGGGCATTTCTCTCCTGCTGCCCAAGAGCACCCACACACCCCAGCAGCGAGACTGACATGCAAACAGGTGAAGCTGATGGCATCAGGGCCCAGAGGAGCAAAGGCACAGCAGAAGCAATGCATACAGGTGAGAAGGGCTGAGAGTGTGAGTGGAACGTTGACCAGTCTCAGGTGATGGAGGCAAGCTATATGGAGAAAGGGTGCAATGAGGAAGGATGGGGGCCTTGTAAGCCACACAAGAATAAGGGCTTGGTCTGGGTCGGAATCCAGGAGGAAACAGCCAGCCTGCTCAGAAGGAGGCTGAGGAGAGTGTAATAAAGGGGCTATGGACGGGGGCATGGGCAGGGTTCAGGAAACCAACAACTGAGGTGAAGCAGCTGGGCTGGTATCCGTGGAAGGGGAAAACTTACCATTCCTAGGGGCAGAGGGCTAAGAGAAGGAAGCAGTAATTAGCAAAAGAAAACTACCTATAAGAGAGTCACTCGAAAGCCAATGCCAACCACAGCCTGGCAAGGAGGGAGCCAGGGCATAAATACCCTGACCTGTCTCTTGTCCCGCCTCCCATCTTCCATCAGAGCCTCCCATTGGCTGAAACCCTTGGGAGCATAGCAGGCCAGGGACCCTGATTGGTGTTATCCATAGAGGTCCTACAGAGCAGGGCAGGGAAGGAAGGATAGGAGACCTGTGGGTATCAAGAGAAGAATATGCGGTGGACTTTATCCTATAGATCTGCTATGTTTAATTTTTTAATGGCAAAGATCCCAAACTTTAGTGTATAAATAGGTAAAAGCTAATTTGTTCCAAATGTGTGTACTAGGGGCCCTGTAACTCTCCCATCTGAACATCAGATGCTAAACACCTGAGGCCTCTCCAAGGCGCCTTAGGCTACCATCACAATGGCATTCTTCCCAAAGTATAATCCAACTGTGTAACAAGGAGCAGCAGGTCCTGGAACTAGGTTTTTAAACTGCTGCTGTAGGAGCCATGGCAGGTGTAAATACTCCCACCACAGCCAAGTTCCAGCTCCACTGTGATGCCACTCAATGCAGCGTTGGGAAAAGGCCATCAGTAGTATTTTCAATAAATGGAAATTACCTGAAGGGCAAAGATGATATAGATACAATAAATGGAAATTACCTGACCGGCAAAGATGATAGTAAACGAATTGAAAAATGATGAATTTTGAGTATTACCTTTGTGGGGGTTTTTAACCTTTGTTTTTAATACCGCTTATTTAATTGTGAGTTTATATGATTTAATTTTTAATAAAGCCGCAATCAGTAACCAACTTGAAAAATTTCTGAAATTTTAACCATCAGCTGTTGCAAGAGCCAGCTCCAGGATCCAACCAGGCTGTTGGGGTTGGAATTAACCAGTTACAGTTTGATTCTGATCGCTTTTGGGTGCTCCAACAACTTGAACACATTTCACTTGGCCTATGATTAAAGTGGTCTCTTTTCTGAAGCGCCCCTCATGTACATATACCTAAATATACAAAAAAAAAAAAAAAAAAAAAAGAGCAGGATCCCTAAATTTCTGTTTTCAAAAAGTTACTTCTTTCTCACTAGAAAGACTTTGGATGCAATGCAGTATTTCCCTTGGCAGCAACTTTAGCACAGTTATTGCATCTGAGAAGAGAGATGGTTCCACAGCAGGAAAAAAAAAAAGGAAGCTGAGAGATTTGAAGGTTTTGAAGAACAAAGACTCCCAGTGTCTCGTGAAAACATCTCCAGAGAGACCGTGTCCTAGAAGCACTCGCAGGAGCACAACATCTGGTCCGAGGTTTCCCGTATCAGGTGGCCTCCTTCAGCAAGTGCGGATGCCCCTACGAGCCCGGCTGCGCACAGGGAATAGATTCTAGAATTTCACATTTCCATCTAAAAACGCACATTCCTTTCCTGGAGGATGGTCGTGTTACACATCGGCCCCTGGGACTTTCACAGAGAGCCTGAAAGGATATCACTGCCACCAGCTACAGAAAAACCAACTTTTTTTTTTTTTTGTAAACAGAGAAGATAAGCCTTTTTTTTTTTCCTTAAGAAAAATTTCTTGGCAGGTAAACCCTTCTCCTTTATCAATGTGTGAGAGAAGAGAGCCCCACATTCTTTCTAAACCCCGCCAAGGTTTTCAGATGAAGTTGCCAGGACTGGTTCTGAATTATTAGGAATTTAAGACAAAGACTGAAAATAATCCGTTTCTTGTAGAAATACAAACAAATATTTCCAGGTGAAATGGCAAGATGTCCGGCCTGGAGGCACAGGGAGTGGGTGGGGATATAGACATGAAACAAGACAGGCCATGAGCCGAAAATCGTTGAAGCTGACTAACGGGAACAGGAGAGTTCATTATAGTGTTCATTCTACTCTGATTGTTTAAAATTATCCCTGATGATAAAAAAGAACGAGTTCTCTGCAGGTGAATTGATTGGGAAGGATGAACATTGACATCTGATCACATGAGTTAATAATCAAGGAGACTCTGTTGAAATCAACTTGCCATTTCTCACCAACCTTTGAAAAGAAAAATGAAATCCCCTGATTTCCATCTCCAGGTCACTAATAATTTTCTATCATTGATGTGCTCTTCAGTGACTGGTATCTAAGCTTGGAATTTAGTATCTTGTTATTTCCATTTTTGATCACTAACAAACATATTTGGGTTTTAATGTGCTCTTTTTATCTAGGTTCTTTCATTCAGCATAATTATTTTTTATTATCTTAAGTTTTACATATGTCTCCTTTTTCCCCAATTGACTCACCCCCAGCCCCCCAACCATTCCCACCCCGGGCAAGCCCCTACCACCCCAGTGTCTGTGTCCATTGGTTATGCTAATATGCATGTATACAAGT